AAAAAAAAACAAAAAAAAACAAAGAGGTAAATGTTGGCTTTGAATTGTGTAAAATCAACTTTGCATAAAATAAATCAAGATGGCAGTAAGTTTTAAAAGACAGGTCTATTTTTTAGGCAAAGTATAAGATGTATTCTAGAGTTTTTAAAATTTTTAAAAAGTAAATTCAGCATATCTGTCACTTCCATGTCATTGAGGACACAGAACCTTAGTTCTGTTGCGTAGCTGTCTTCCACAGCCATGTGATATCTGTAAGTCTTCATTTTTTCATTAGCAATACAAGGGGAGAACATACACAGGCCTTATTTGTATTGGAAAGGGCCAAGTGAGACATACATAAACTGTGTTGTAATCCTAAAGAATGACAATAAAGAGCCATTTCTGGGCTCTCATCCAACACTACCCCGCTACTAACGGGTGTGTAACATCACTCAGAGGCTTTCCTTACATCGCCAAGGAGAGTATAAGTTTACACAACTACTTACATGCTTTGTGTATAAAGGTGTATAATCAATTAATTCATATATTTGTTTATTCTAAAGCAATCCTTAAATATCTTGAAAAGTGAGGATAGTACTTCCAAGTTACAAAGTCATACTCATCATGAGTCTTAATTGTCCTACCTCTTAAAAAATTAAGAGCCCAACCAAAGTTTAAATAGAAGAGCTTCAAGACATTTCCTCTACAACAATGAAATCTCTGGCATTTAAATGAAACCAATAAGCCAACTGGATTTAATTTCATTGTGATGCAATGTTTTCTATCTTGAAAATTTTAGTTTTTATTCAAGAATCATATTATTACCTGGAATTACTTCTACTTAGATTCATCTCTTTGCAAAATTTTAGAGGTAAACCAACTAATTGTTTTCCCTTTTCTACTGCCTCCCATCCCCCACCTCTTCCAGCAGGGTAGAGACAGAAAAACTCCAAAACTCCATCTTTCTTTCTTTCCTTTCTTTCCTTTTTTCTTTTCTTTCTTTTCTTTCCCTTCCTTCCCTTTCTTCCCGTTCTTCCCTTCCTTCCCTTCC